CCCTTCCAATCATAACATTTTATGATTCTATAACCTGACTTCTTCTAAGATTCAACAAGATACCTCTCATGCAAGTACACATTATCCTACAAATTTGCAGCATCAACAGCTTTTCTATAACTATTTTCTAAACTACACCATTGTAGGCTAGACCTTTGGAGAAATGTAGTTCCTTGTATTATCATTATTATTCTTTTTACAGCCTTTTATGAAGTCTTCATTACACTATGCTCAACAAAGGTGGAGATAAAGGGGCAAATCCAGATACGTATTATTTCCTCAGAGAGGTTCTGATCTAATGGAACATTCCTGCAAATAACTACGGTGAGGAGTGGAAACTGATGATACCATCATCATACATTTGCTCAGATAGAGCAAAATGGAAGTTTAAGAGCTGAGATTATTTCTGGTTGGTTAAGATCAGGAAAGATGATGGGACAGGTGCTTTATGAGTTGCACTTTAAAGGAGAGGTAGGCTTTGAACATAAAGGAATGGTGGGGATGTATATTCTAAGCAGAGGTCACTTCATAGACACTGACAAAAAGGCAGGAAGCCATGGGGCATGCACAGAGAACTGTCCATAGTGGCGGCTTGGTGGAAATGGAGGCTGTGTGGAGACAAACAATGGGGAAGAAAATAGATTACTGGCAGAATATGCAGAGCCTAACTGAAGTTTTACAGCAGAGGTGTGCTTCAAATAGATCAAAGGGAAGAGAGACTGGAGGAGGAGGCATTGTTAGGAGCAAAAAGTATGAATACAGCAGTGGGAATGGAGAGGAGGCGTTGTTGGGAGCTGTTTCTGCACTAGGGGATATGGTGGCATGAGGGGAGTCAAACATGGTGTAGATGCTTACATCTAGATTAAGTATGAAAATGCTAGTGTTGCTACTAGAAATGGAAGGTGTAAAAGCAAAGTTGAGAGAGAGAGGACAAGTGTCAAGTGCCAGGAGAAAGGCATTTGGGAGACTATGTCCTGGAGAAAATTGCAAACGTGAAACTGATACTCGGAAAAAAGGTCAGAGCTGTATGTTTATATCTGGAAGCATTTTTACAGAAATAGCAGTTGAAAGCTTTAGGAATGAGTAAGACTGCTAAGACAGAGACTACAGTGAAAAAAGGCAATTCAAAGTGTTGATCTGTGGGAGGCACCAACACTAATAAGATCACAGGAGTCAGCAAAAGAGTGGTAAGAGGTGCACGAGGAGAACTAGGAGCGCATAGCATCCCACAGAATGATACACACAGGCATGCATATTTATCAAGAGAAAAGCTTAGTTCCTGACCTGACAGATCACATAAAATTGATACACAGCACACTGTTTCCTAAAGTAAGTTCTAGAGAACACTGGTTTCTATTAATGTTGAAATGTGCTTTATGATCAAAAAAGGACGTGTTGATTAAAAAAGTTTGGAATACTGGCCCTTTACCTCCCGTAGAAACTCAAAATGTACATTTGATTGTTAAAGATTACAATCCTGCGGTAGAGGAACGCATTCAACTTTGTTAAACTCAGAGTTTATTCAGAAACTCATGTGTCCCATAAACCCCTTTTTTTTTAAATATACTCTGGATACAGCGGTGTTCCTTCCACAGGAAGTCAGCTTGAGCAAACACTGATATACAGTAAAATTCAGACATTGATAGACTATTAAGACTGGAAAGGATATCAGGTGATCATTTAATCTACTCCCGACATTTTATGGGTGAAAAAAGAAAGTTAATTGTATGATAAGCTACCTTACTGCCTTATCCTTGGTAGGTGATGATGAATAAATGTAGATATGTAAGCATATAAAAGAGAGAGAAAGAAAAAGGAAAAACACAAGTAAGGCATTAATTAGAGCTTTAAAAGCTACAACGTTGCTGCCATCAAAGATAACTTGTTTTATGCTAAGTGTTTTAGAACATTTCACAGTGTTACAGGAGGCTTACTAATTGATCTCTTACAGAAGAGGAAATTGTGGCCAGAGGTTAATTCGGCCCTAGTGACCCCACTAGTAAATGGCAGTGCTGGAATTCAAACCCAAATCTGTCTGACTCTAGAGTAGGGCTCCTCAACACGATGCTCCGCTGACTTGACAAGAATCTGCTTCTTATGTAACCTCCCACCATCCGCTTCTAGACAGGACCCAAGATAAAGCGTTCTTGCACAAATTCCCCTCGTAATAATTATAAATAAATCCAATGCACCAAAAATTTAGATTTACAAAACAGGTTCTGGAATACATTTATGCACTTTGTAAAATAACTTCTTTGAAAGTTTCTCTCCCTAGTGTGACTGTTTATAATTATTGTTTTTATTAATTTTCTCTAGACTGCATATTCTGCCAACATCCGGCTATGCCTTTAACATTTCCACAAGACTCTTAAGTATATCATTGACAAAATTTTTCTAGGACACCCACTTCATTCATGAGAGGTAAGTCCAAAGAAAAATTATCACTTTGGAATTTAGACCAAGAATTGTTAATAATACAATCAGTTTTCTCTGAAATGGTACTTTGTCTTTAAATGTTTCATCATATCTGTACCCACAGACATATACCGTACTCCAAAAAAAAAAAAACACAAACAAATCCATTGCCATTGAGTTGATTCTAACTCATAGTGACCCTAAAGGACAGAGTAGAACTGCCCCATAGGGCTTCCAAGGCTGTAAACTTTATGGAAGCATATTGCCACATCTTCCTCCTGCGGAGTGGCTAGTGGGTTCGAACCGCTGACCTTTTGGTTAGCAGCCAAGTGCTTCACCACCATGCCACCAGGGCTCCTTAAGGCACCGTATTTTTATGCAAATAACTTCATTTGTTTGCCAACCATGCCTTACTAGCAACATGTGAAAAAAAAAAAAAATTGGCATAGCAGCGCTTACGAAAATACCCTGTGGGGGGAGGGTGCGGTTGGCAAACAAACATAGAAGGCGTGCGTTATTTGTGTAAAAATACAGTACTACAAATGCATACAAATATCAAAGTCTTAATTCCAAATGTGAATCCCTAATTTAAAACGGTACCATATGACCATACAATAAGTGAAAACAATTCAAGTGGTACTGGTATTTTCCATTCATTGCAGCATATGATATGTGAAATGTAGTTAATTGTTAAATCACTTTTCCCCAACTTGCATATGAAAGAACAAGACATTTCTCAGGTTATGATTCTGGAAACCTGAGTTCATTACAGATTGCTATGTTAGCTCACATGGTAGAAAAATATTATAAGTGCTTAATATCAGTGAAAATCAAAAATAAAATTCACATGTAGTTCTAATGAAAACATGCGTTTTGATCTAGTTTCTTGACAACCTGATATAAAATTTAATAAAGATTCTTATCTAACAACTAAAAAAATAAATCCTTAACTTCTAAGTTTATTAGTTAAAATTTAACAAGGCTAGTATTGTTGGTCTACAGGAATAGGTATAATTTATCTACGATAAACCCATTGAGTCAATTCCTACTCACATCAATCCTATAGGACAGAGTAGAACTGCCCCGTGGGGTTTCTAAGGAGCGGCTGGTGAATTCAAACTGCCAACCTTTTTGGTTAGCAGCCCAGCTCTTAACCACTGCACCACCAGGGCTCCTTTATCTATGTAACCAAAACCCAAACCAAACCCATTGCTGTTGAGATGATTCTGACTCACAGCGACCCTATAGGACAGAGCAGAACTACCCCATAGCGTTTCCAAGGAGTGCCTGGTGGATTCGAACTGCCGATCTTTTGGTTAGCAGCCATAGCCCTTAACCACTACACCACCAGCATTTACATCTATGATAAACGGACTCTAAAATTGGGCTGCTGACATGAGCAAGGCTTCTAGCTCGGGACTGGGCCTGATTCCATTTTCTCAAAAGCTACTTTTACTTCACAATTCCCAGAAAGTTTGCTAACTAGGTCAAGGGTTGCTAACACAATTTGCTTGCACAGTAGTCCCAGGAAGCATCTGACTTTAGCGGTTAAGCCGATTCTCAGAGGGTGCTCTTCAGCTGCCCTGGAAAAAGGTTTTTATAACCTTCCACTCTTCCATAGATATGTATACAAAGTAGAGCACCTACTTAAAAAATTATTTTTTTTTAGTTTATGGTTTTTCCAGTAACAGCCTAGCCACCAACCCACCTGCATATCCCTCTTACGCCTTGCAAGCAACCCAGTTAACGTCAACGAATCCAAAGCATTTTAGCGCTCTGCTTGCCTTTATAAGCGCTTGTCAGAGTGAGCTCTTCGGAGCACTCAGTGATTGTCACTTGTGGTTCCCAGTTCCGACTGTCTCCAGTCTTCAATAAAGCTCTTTACTTTTTTTTTATTTCAACAGAGGCTGAGTTTTACTCTTTGACATCGCTAACAGTATTTCCCAAAGTATGCACCTTGAAACACTACATTTTACTATCAAATAGGTTCAGGAAACATTTACAAACTCTACTCCTCTTTTGGAGATTGACAATATACACTGGCATTGTTTATACAACTTCTTGTAAGTTCTGCAGTTAAAAAGAATTTTTTCAAACTTTAATCAATAATTTCTCAAAGCTTAGAACATTTTTTGGCATAATATCTATCAATATCCTTGTGTGGTTAGTGTTACAGGAAATAGGACTGGAAAGCAGTGATCTATGAGGATGGGAAGGAGAGAATTAAAATAAATAGATGGTGCCAAAATCATCAGTATTGGATTTTGGAATATTATGTAATTTTATCAGCAAATTTTCGTTTAGAATGCTATTTTTTAAAAAAAGGATACATTAAAAAAAGATAACTGTTCATAACATAATAACCAGAGTAAAAGAAGAATAGAAGCATGCTGCATACCAAGTAAAAGACACAGAATACTTAGGAATAAAGATACACTTTAGGTTTTATACAAAGTAGGTAAGACATGGTGTAAAATGAGAACTGGCCATATATATTCTTCTCTAGGATCACTCCCAAGGCATAAAGACTATAAGAAAAGAGCAAGTAGTTCATTTATTAAAAGGCTGGCATCCAGCACACTTACACTGCCCATTCAAGCTTCTCATTCTTGATTGAGTTGTACAGAGCCTGCAAAGAAAGAAAATAAGATGGAATTATTCTTTCCATTCCGTTCCACATTTTGAATTCAGAAAATGACAGCCAAATGGCTTGAGTCAGCAAGCAACTTCTCCACAACCCAGCCATCTAGCCAGGATGAGCATGAGGCTCCTTTTAGGGCATCCTGTTGGCTCTGTAGAGGTGAGGAAACATAGGTGAGGCAAAATGAGCATAAGGTAAGCAGTGTTTTATGAAACTAAGAGACTTAACACAAAGTTAAAAATGTCTGTCATAAATAAGACACATGACACTGTATTACATAAAAATGTCAAGATATGATTAAAATTAGACCATGCAAAATTTGATCCTATAGTTAGACTAGTTTGAGCATTGGGGAATTCAAACCTTTCTCGTTAATGTGGTAAATATAACTGTTTTCATGGCAACTTAAAGAGCAAGATACAGGGAAAGGAGATGTTATGGATTGAACCGTGTTTCTCAAAAAGATAATGTTGAAGTCTAAATGTTCGGTACCTGTGAATGTGAGCTTATTTGGAAATAGAGTCCTTGCAGAAGTTAAGATGAGGTCATTTGGGTGGGGCATTAATCTGATGTAACTGGTGTCTTTATAAGAAGAGAAGAGACAGACACAGACACACAGGGAGAACACCATGTGACGACAGAGGCAGACTGATTTGTCTCCAAGCCAAGGAATGCCAAGGACTGCTGCCAACACTAGAAGCCAAGAGAAAAGGCATGGAACGGATTCTCCCCTAGAGCCTCTAGAAAGAGTATGGCCCTGATGACGTCTTGATTTTGAACTGCCAGCCTCCAGAACTGTGAGGGAATAAATTTCCATTATTTTAAGCCACCAAGTTTGTGGTAATTTGTTATGGCAGCCATAAGGAACTACTACAGGCGACTAAAGCCAGACATGGAAAACAATCTTAGAATAATTTTAGAGATTCTATACCAATGGACTTAAGCTTTTATCATTACGACTTCGTAATTCTGTTTTATAATGAAGTGTCATACTGGCGTTTGGGTGGTAGGGGAGACAGACTGCTTCTTTAGAACCTTGGTAACAAAACTGACACAGTGAAGTCAGCATAAGACTGTCTCCTTGGTCCCTCTGAGCTCTGGCATCATTACATACAAGCTCCTTGTAATCAACTTGCTCCTCTGTAACAACTACCACAGAAAATGCTACTCCACATCTCTAATTTTGAGTAAAATGCTATAAAGAAAACACCAATGCATCTCTAAGATACAAAACCACAACAGCCAATTCAATTGAAGAACAGGATAACTATGTGCACAATATTACAGTGATGATTTTGGAACATTTTTCTTCAAAGAAGTGCCTGGACCTATTAGAACTTGAAGGCTCACAAAGACTTCATTTACTTTGAGATAGGAAAAAAGAGAGTCAGATGACGTGTCCAAGCCTTCGTACTACAAATAAAGAAATGGTAGATCCAGAAAGTTGCCCAAGTACTACAGCAGAACAGACGTAGAAAGACTGCGTCTTCTACTTGTAGTCCTTTCTTGTCCACGTTTAAGGGACTGTATACATGTGTGTAAACAGTAAGACTACATGCCAAGAGTGAATTTCCTTTTTCAACCAAACACTTCCAAACGCAGTACAACATATTTAAGTCACAGATTTTATATTATTTAAGATTTCGTTTCCTTAGCCAGTATCTTGACAAACTTAGTGGAAGTTCTCCATCTGGCTTTAACAGCTAATTTAACTATTGGATAATTATGGTAGCTAATAAAAATTAAGACACATTTTATCATTATCAAGATGGTAAAGCATGTGTCCCCAAATACAAAAATTATGAAACATCAGATTAAAATAAAGGATAAATCCAGGCACAAAGTCCATGCTGTAAGGTGGGTATTCTTTTTGAAAAACTCAAATTTACTGAAGAAAACAACCTATGATTTAGCTAACATCTGATGAAGCTCAACACTTACAAGAGTGCAAAGAGAGTAAAAATCTTAACTCAAGCCTCAGGAGACTCTTGCTGGATAAATGCCTTTTAAATGGATTCTATTACTTGTCTGAGCCATTCTGAACCCACAGGTAATAGTGGGCTGAGAAACTGCAATTGAAAAGAGACAGATCATTAAAGATTCTTTATATACTATCATACTCAATACTATCTAGAGTAATTTAACAATGTGGTAAAGATAAAAAAAAAATCTGTTGATAAAGGCAGACAGTTGAAAATGAAATCTGAGCATCTAAAATTTTTCTAATACATTCAATTCTGCCCTGGAACAAATTTTTTTCATTTATTTTTTGCCCTTGAGAATATTTTGCTAAACTAGAAAATTCTTGCTACTCAATAGGCCAGTACTATCTCACCACCAAAATCTTTCAAGTATCTTGTAAAATTCAACAGACTTGCCACAGAAGTCAAGTCCTCTCCCTGTATATATGATATATAATAGGTCTTATACTGTAACATGAAAAACCTAAAAGGTGGATTACAGCTCTATCATTTTCAATGGCAAAATTACAAAGAAATTTTGCTGAATTTTGTTTAGCACTTTATGATGAGCCATTATTTTTCTTAACAAAATGAAGATGCTTTGCAAATACACCCAACATTCACAACATCCTATCTTTTTATCTATTTAGCCCAGTTAAGAACAGAATTCTCTTGATTCCTCTTATTTCTAATCCAACAGTCATCATTTCCTTTGTTCTGAGGCTGAGACCACACGGTCCATCATTTCAACCAGTCATGTTAATGTCTTCAACTTCTTTGCTCCATTGCCTTTCTGATGTAAAACCCCAAAAAACCAAACCCGTTGCTGTCAAGTTGATTCTGACTCATAGTTACCCTATAGAAAAGAGCAGAACTGCCCCATAAGGTTTTCAAGGAGCCCCTGGTGGATCTGAACTGCCAACCTTTTGGTTAGCAGCCGTAACTCTTAACCACTACGTCACCAGGATTTCCTTTCTGGTGTCACTGATGAGAAATTATATAACTCCTGACCAATTCTACTCACTGACTTCTCCACACTTATATTCCATATATTAGTTAAAGTTTCTTTAGTTTCACATGTCAAAGACCCAACTCTAACTACCTTAATAGCGGCAGATTTATTGGTTCATGGAGCCACATCATTAAAGAAGATGTGGATAGAGCTGGCCTTGGGGATAACTGAACGCAAGGATTTAAAACTTTCCGTGTCTCTTCTCAACTCTTCTCTTTCCATTCCCAACCATCTCTGTCCTTGTTTCTTTCTAATGTGGGCCTTCTCTGCTACAAACACATCCACAGCAAGCAACATTCATGCACATCCTACGTCTCTCAACAAGAGGAAAAAATTAAAACAGTTCTTTCCCCCAGCTCCACAGGCTGATTGTCAGAAATATTTCAAGGGTCAGTCCCTACCCTTAGTGGTCTCAACTGAAGGTATGGGAGTACACACCAGAAATCAGTCAAGAATTTAAAAAAAATATTGATTCTTGGGCCTCACCCCAGCTCTACTGAATCAGAATCAATGGATGAGGAATCTATGAATAAATATTCTCCAAGTGTTCCACAGGTGACTCTGATATAAATCCTTGGTTAAAAGTCACTACTTTGCAAGTTTTCTCTAATTAAAGTTCCTGCAAATTAACCCAGGAGCTACACAACAAATACCTCCACTGAGACTAACTAAGCAAGACTGAATGATTCTTCAAATCTGAAGTTTATCATTTTTAAGAATGAGAAAGCAAAGTAAATTGCTGAAATTACAGAAATCAAGGTATCTTAGTCTAAATTTACTTTTATCTTTGTTCCTCACTTTTAATTGCTTCCCATCTAGATGATAAAATGCAATTTTATTCAAGGTTTAGCACACTCATTGACAGCCCACACGAAGTTCTCTGAAGTTTTTCCCCATTACCATTTATTGTGTAACCATGAATATCTCCCTCCAGGCATTTTGCACAGTCTGTGGAATCTGTATATTTTAGGTCAATCATCTTTAAACTCCAAAGAACTTTTCCCCATCTGTGCTCCCTAAATCATTATGAAGAACACGGAGGATAACATACATGGTTTCCACTCAGTAAAACTGACAGCGACCACAGTGAAATTTGTACCCAGGAAGGGTTATGACACCAACACCACTATGGTTATCTTTTTCAAATGCAATGCTGGCTCATGCAGATTTTTAAGTATAGAATTAAATATGCACTATTCTGGCCATGTTATCAGAGAAACACTATTTGAAAAAGAGATTGGTTAAAATTAATGATAAAACTAGTTATCAAATGAGTTTCTAATTAGTTACGAAAACTCAAAATACCAAACATTAGCGGTCTTCAACTTTTACTTCCTTCTCTATGCCCTAAAATATTGACAAACTACAGTGTTGTTGTTTGTTGTTAGGTGCTGTAGAGTCCATTCCAACTCATAGTGACCGTATGGGCAATGGAATGAAACACTGTCCGGTCCTGTGCCATTCTCACAATCATTGCTATGCTTGAGCCTATCATTGCAGCCACTGTGTCAATCCATCTTGTTAAGATCTTCCTCTTTCTTGCTGACCCTCTACTCTACCAAGGATGATGTCCTTTTCCAGGGACTGATCCCTCCTGATAACACGTCCGAAGTATGTGAAACGAAGTGTCACCATCCTCGCTTGTCTTAGTCATCTAGAGCTGCTATAATAGAAATACCACAAGTGGATGGCTTTAACAAAGATAAATTTATTTTCTCACCGTCTCATTGGCTAGAAGTCCAAATTCTGGGCATTAGCTCCATGGGAAAGCTTTCTCTCTCTGTCGGCTCTGGAGGAAGGTTCTTGTCATCAATCTTCCCCTGGGCTAGGAGCTTCTCTGCGCAGGAACCCTAGGTCCAAAGGACGCACTCTGCTTCTGGCACTGCTTTCTTGCTAGTATGAGGTCCCCAACTCTCTGCTTGCTTCCCTTTCCTTTTATCTCTTGAAAGATAGAAGGTGGTGCAGGCCACACTCCAGGGAAACTCCGTTTACACTGGATCAGGCATGTGACCTGA